TTTCATCTTATTTCCCATGAAATGTGCTTAAGAATATTAAGAATCTTCATTTGCAAAGTAATGTTCTGAGATCAGCCTGCACGTAGTAGGTGCTGACACGTACCAGGCTCTTCCAGCCTCCAGGAGGAAATGCAGCATATAAACGTGGGGTTCTCCGGGCTCTTCTATTGACACGGAGAGCACAGACAGAGGTAAGAGCGGGCTGCCAGGGTCCACACACCCGCTTGGCCCCTTCCTACCCAGCAGGGAGGTGAGGCCCTGGGAAAGCGTCCCGCTTCTCTGTGACCTGGTTCCCAGTCTGTAAGAGGGGACCTTACAGTGTCTACATCACTGCGTCCTCCTGGGGGTTACGTGACTTAACCCTCATAAAGGGCCTGCTGCAGGGAAGCTTAGCAGACATTGGCAGTGACCTGACCCCGTGGGTCACTCTGGAGCTGGCTGGGTGGGCTTTGCAATCAGACTGGCTTGGGTTCCAGTCCCAGATGCTTAGGCTGGGAAAGTCACCTGATTTTGTGGACCCTCCACATCCCCTGTGAGACGGCTGGGATAGCACAGGGCTGCTGCAGGGCTGCAGAGGCAAGCAGTGGGTGTGAAGACTGGGGGCAGCAGGGGACCTCAGGCCCCAGGGTAATGAGGGGGAGAGGCTACAGGATCGGGAGAGGCTACAGGATCGGAAGAGACTGCTGGTGCCAGAGCCACGGCCAAGGGCACGGCTGGGACCTCCCTGTCTCACCCTCCCAGGACCCAGCCCCCCCCCCTCTGACCAGGCCCTGGAACCAAGCATCTTCAGCCTTTACTCGTGCTGTGTGGCATCAAGCCAAGTCACTGCACCTCTCTGAGCTTCCGTCTCTACATTGGCAAACTAAGAGTAATAACTAGGCTGCTGGGACGATCAGTGAGTTTATGCATGTCATGTGTTGCCCAGGGCCTGGCATACAGTAGGTGCTCAGTAAGTGTTAGTATAACATCCATGGCTCTTATTCACTCATCCCTAGCTCAGTGCCAGCCCTGGGTGGTCCTGGAGCTGATGGAGACACAGCCGGCTTCCCAAGCATCATCCCAGGCAGAGGTCAGGGTGCACCAGTGTTCCGCCCTCATTCGCATGGCGTGGACTCCTGTGTCCCGAGACCCGGCATCATCGGGCACCATCGGGCTTCATCGTCCTCCTGGGGGCTTCCCACAGGCCCAGGCCTGGGGCTGGACTCCACATCCCCCCACACCGTGTGCTCAGCGCTTCACAGGTCTCTGGTGTGTTAAACGTATGCCAGTGCCCCACTGGACTTGATTTCTGGAGCACAGGGACTGTGGTCTCCCTCCGCGTGTCTCCCCGCTGCTCCTCCCCCCGAGTGCTGTGGGAAACCCCAGGAAGGCTGGGGGGGATCTCGACCCAGAAGCATTCACTCTAGTGTGGGAGGGGAGTCAGAGGGCACGGCGGGGGTGGAGGGAGGGAACCTGCAGTGAGGCCATGATGGCTGAGTAGGGGCGGTAGCCGAGGTGCGGAGAATGAGATGCATTGAGACTCCCGGAAGGCGCTGGAATGCCAGAACGAAGAGGGAGAGTCTGAGAGCTGCGTCCAAGAGAGTCAGCCGACAGGCTGGGCTTTGGAAAGACCTGTCCGTCCCGGAGATGGGGAGGACCGTGGAAGACCAGGTTCGGCACGGTCATCGGCTTGGTTTGGGCTGTGCTGAGTTGAGGGAGCCTTTGAACATCCAACTGGTGGTTGGGAGATAGGTCTGGGGTGTCTTTGAGCACCCAAGGGTGACATTTTGTTGGTTGGAAGAAGGAATCTGGGCTCGGAGGAGAGACCGCACTTACTGTTTTTGTTTTCTCCCCAAGGTCACCCTGAGCTACAAGCAGAAATGGGACTAGGGCTCGGGTCTCCGCTACCCCTCCACCCCAGCCTGGAGACTCTCTCCAAGCCTCCTTGTGACTTTCCAAGAGGATGCAGGGTGGACAAAGCCCAAGGAAGGAATGTTCCCTTGAAAACCCAAATCCTTTCAGCTGTTTTCCTCTTGAATCACTGGCAAGAGCTCAAAATCTATACTTTTTTTTTTCTGGTGAAAAATAATAGCAGATCTGCCTTGGTCACTAACACTGTGAAATCAGAGGCAGCAGACAGAGGACCCTCGGAACATTCCCAGCCCCGGTGGCCTCCCGCTTCAGAACCTGCCACTGCGAGCCGGGCGCCAGCAGCTCTGTGGCCGTGAACAGCAGGTGCTGTGGACGGGAGGGCCTGACAGCAGCTAGTTGGCCTAGAGGGGAGGCAACTGCCCTCTCTCCTCCATGCGCCCCCTCCTGGAGGAACCTCATCTCCTCCGTGAAGTCACCACGGGATCTTTTTCTCTGACCCAGACCTCTGCCTAGGCCCAGAGTGGCGAATCAGGCAGCCCAAGGTTCTCCCCTGCCCTTGAGCGATCTGTAAGCAGGAAAGCCTCAGCTCACCCCCAGCTGAGCACACCTCTGCACCTCCGGTCCCCCCTGCACCCGGTCGCCCAGGCACCGGCCTGGGGACACATCGTCTCCTCCACGGAGCCCCACAGAGCCTCCTTCCTCTGCTCTCGCCTCTGCCCTCATGCTTCCATGAGGCGTCTCCCACAAGCTGCTGCCTCACCCCGTTCCCCTCCCGGTGCACCCCGCACCTGTCACAGAAGCCTCTCAAGCAACAACACCTCCTGCTCCCACTGGTCTCCAGGTGGACTTTGGGCTGTCCTCATGGCCTCTGAGGCCCTCTGCCTGTGCACCTTGTCACCCCTCAGCCCTCCTCCAGCCCTGTCCTAAGGTCCCCGCCACTACCCACCTCCCTGTGACCCGGGCTGTGCACATGCTATCTCCTCTCCCAGAATGCTCTTCCCACTCCCGCACCCCCAGAAAAGCCAGACCCCTTTTCCCTGTCACCTCCTCGAGGCTCAGCCCAGGGGCTCCTGCCCCAGGGACACAGGGGCCCAAGGGAGACTGACCGAGCAGACCTTCATGTGGGCAGAGACTGAGAGTCTGGGGAAGGATTTCAAGTGGAGGACACAGCAAGTGCAAAATCCTTGGGGTCGGAGGAGCAGCAGGGAGGCTACTGTGGCCAGAGGCTAGGAAGGACAGGGAGGAGGCCGCGGAAGGGACGGGCAGGGAGATGTGCGGTGTTGGGAGAAACTGGGGGACCCTACCTACTCCTGCCTCCCCCTTGTCAGGCCCCAACCCGTGGGGCCTGGCTGGGCAGGACCCGGCAGCCCCGCAGGTCTTAGAGTGAAAGGAACAGCCAAGGCCCAAGGTCGTCCAGGACCAATGACCAAGGGGTCTGGCTGTGGGGCACTGGGTACCCACTGGGTCCCGAGCCAGAAGCTTCCAACTCAGAAGGCTGCTTGGGTGACCTCTGACCCTGCAGCTAACTTCCTGGTGACCAAGGGATGTGGCGTCAGCAAGACTGGAGATGTTCCCTGAAAGAGAAGGAGGAACGTTCTGGAGACAGTCACATGGGGGGTTGCTGGGGAGCCGTTCTGTCGGTGAGCGGTTCTCATTTCGATGTGTTTCTTTGGTTGAGATGTTGCAGAGTGACCTCAGTTTCGAGCCCCAGGCCCACCACGTGGCAGAGGCAGAGAAGACCTGGGCTCCTGGGGTCCTCCCAGCAGCGGGGTCTGTGCCTCCGTGCCTCCGTGTCCCCTGTTTGTGTTGTTGATGTACTCTTCAAAGGGGACCGTCCACCTCGGCCAGCCTCTATGAGCTGTCATAGCCCCCATGGATTGGAAGAATTCCAATCCCAGGCTGCCTGGCCTCAGCCTCCTCCTTCCCCCACCTCTGTCTACACTGCCAGCTTGGCTTCGATATGTCACAGTGTCCTCCCCGACACTGTGACTTCCCAGCAAGGGGCTGGGCGGGTTCCAAGACTGGCACGTGCCCCTGGAGGCCCTTCCCACACCAGGACAGCCAACTGCACACAGACAACTCGGCTGTACACTGACGTGTCGACAAACTACACAAATACATCCCAAAAGCCCAAACGACACAGATCTGCAGCTCCCTTTCTCCTCAGCCACAGCCCGGCATGTCTGCAGTCGTTCCAACGCCCCAACGCGAGGGGAGGGCTGACAGGGAAGGCGGGCATGGGAGCAATGCTGACGACCAGCTATAGTGAAGGGATCTTACTTCTGCAAATGACTTAGATACGTGTGACCAGGACCAGGCCTTGGAAAGGGCTCGTGCACAGAGGGGACCAGAGCCTTCATCATGGCTTCACCAAAGACAGCCCTCCAGCTGGCTGGGATCTTGTTTTTTTTAACTTTTTTTATTATTATTATTATTATTATTGTCATCATCATCATCATCATCATCATCATTATTGTTGAGGTAGAGTCAGTTTACAATGCTGCGTCAATGTCTGGTGCACAGCATCGTGTTTCAGCCAGCTGTATACATACATATATTCCTTTTCATATTCTTTTTCATCATAAGCTATTATAAGATATTGAATAGAGTTCCCTGTGCAGAAGAAACTTGTTTATCCATTTTACACATAGTAGTTAGTATATGCAAATCTTGAACTCCCAAGTTATCCCTTCCCACCCCCTTATTCCTCTGGTAACCATAAGTTTGTTTTCTATGTGTGTGAGTCTGTTTTTGTTTTGTAAATAAGTTCACTTGTGTCTTTTTTTAGATCCCACATATAAGTGCTATCATATGGTATTTTTCTTTCTCTTTCTGGCTTGCTTCACTTAGAATGATGATCTCCAGGTCCACACAAGTTGCCGCAAATGGCATTATTTTATTCCTTTTTTTTTTATGTCTGAGTAGTATTCCGTTGTATAAATACTCCACATCTTTTTTATCCAGTCATCTGTTGATGGACATTTAGGTTGTTTCCAGGTCTTGGCCACATTTTGTAAATAGTGCTGCCGTGAACATTGGGGTGCATGTATCTTTTCAAATTAGAGTTTCCTCCAGATATATGCCCAGGAGTGAGATTGCTGGATCACAGAGTAAGTCTATTTTTAGTTTTTTGAGGAATCTCCATACTGTTTTCCATCATAGCTGCACCAAACTACATCCTCACCAGCAGTGTCGGAGGGCTCCCTTTTCTCCACGCCCTTGCCAGCATCTATTATTTGTAGACTTCTCAATGAAGGCCATTCTGACTGGTGGGCAGAGCCCCTGTTCTTAACCACTGCACCACACTGCCTCCCTTCCGATGAAGCAGGGAAGGCCCAGAGAGGCAAAGGGACTGTGCAAGGTCACACAGCAGGTTACTGACTGCACGCAAACCCAGGATTCCTCGGCCAGGAATCCCAGGATTCTTGCTTCAATGCACCAAAGCCACATCTTCTGGGAGTAACGTGGTCAGGTTTTCTCATGAAGAGAAACACACAAAAGAAATTTCTCCTACAGTGAGGTCCGCATGATTTTCCTGCGAAAGAGGAATAAAATCTTATCCAAGAACACAATGATTCATGCCAGCCCACCGAGTCAATCAGGAATCGGCAGACTGTAATTTCTATCAAACTATAATTAGCTGAATTTCCTTTTGTAATCTTGGGAATCCGAACAGAGTGCAGCCTATCATTGGAGCCTCAGATAATGACCAGCCACCTCTCGTACAAAACGGTTAGGAGTAAAAAGGTCCTACGGTTCCCTTTGATGTTTAAAGAGGAAACATTAATGCAAAGACACGAAAAAATTAGTGGAATTTCAAATCCAAAACAATTGCAGCCTTGTTGGGATACAAGGCTTTGCGGAGGGAGGGATGCGGGCGAGGCTGTTAAACCAGGACGGCGTTCTGGCCATGCCCGCTCCCTCCTCGGGGCAGAGCCGCAGAGAGCCAGCGAGGGGTGGGGTCGGTGTTTCTCCAGCGCTGGCACCGTGCCGGGCAGACTGAATGCAAACGAGAAATATGCGGGGAATGAATGAATGAATGAAGGAGTGGAGCGCAGGAGATGGGGAGGGCGCAGGTAAGCTACTTCCCTCTGCTCAGCCCAGGGAAGTCCGGTGTGCTGCAGGAGGCCCTGTGATCCCTGGAGCCCGCAGCCCGAGGGGGCAGGTCCACCCATCTGCAGGCATCTGGCCAGTGGGGCTGAGAGAGTTCCTGGGCCGGAGTGGGGCTCAGAGGGAGTCCCCCCCTTCCTGGGATCTCACACTGTCCTGTCCTTTCTCCCTGCCAGGGTTCCAGGGACCAAGCCCTGGGTCCATCCGGCCAGGACAGGCTGAGTGCCCTCCACACCCTTGGCAACTGGCTGAGGAGATTCCGGGGTGGTGGCCTTCGGGATGAGACAGGGTGTGAATGAAGGAATGTGCGGTAGGAAGTGACAGTGATGACTCAGGGTTACTCAGCCTGGAGCCTCCCAGGGGCCCGCTGAATGGCCGTCTGTGGCCACAGCAGCCCCTCACCCTCCCACCTCGGGGCAGGGGCCACTCCTCTTGTCCCCAGGGCCCGTCTGTCAGCTGGCTTCGTGCCCAGGTGCCCGGAGACGGCAGGGAAGGGGGAGCACAGTGGGTGCCCGGACGGAGCCCGGGAAAGGAGCAAAGGACTAACTGCGAGCAGGAGGGCAGGGGGGCCGAGCTGCTGCCCCTCCCACCGGGGAGCCTCAAGCCCCCTCCTGCCGTCCTCCAAAGCCCACCTCAGCCAGCAAGTCTTCCCGTCACAGACAGGGAAACCGAGGCCTGGAGGGGAGGTGACTGGCAAAAGGCAAGGGGCCGCTGAAAAAGATCCAAGTCCCCTGGGCCTGGCTCGGCTCACTCATCCACAGGCTGTTGCCCAGTAGGTGGAGGACATGGGCCTCACGCAATGGATGTCAAATTGCCATCCTGGAGATCCTGCTGGCCCCACCAAGGTCTCTGCTGGGATCATCTCACATGGCCCACGTCCCTGCTTTGAGGTGGACTCACGTGCATACTCCACTGTCTACCAACCCACCAGTCCACCCATCCATCCATCCCCGCATCTATCCAGCTACCCGGTGTGAGCCCTTCCTCGCAGCCTGGCCTTGTCTGCAACATCCCTTTGGAACATACACAAACACACAGACACACATATTTATCCTATGTTCATTCATGCCCCATTCTCCACATCTGTCCATCCATCCATCATCTGTGCATTCATTCATCTGTTCACCCACACAGTCACCCATCATCTATCTACCTACCCATTCATCCGCTCATCCACCCATCCATCTATCCACTGTCATCCATCCATCCATCTATGCACTGTCATCCATCCATCTGTCCATTCATCCATCCATCCACACTGTCATCCATCCATCCATCCATCCTTTCATCCATCCATCCATCCATTCAGCTGCCTACTCATATATCCTCCCTTAGACTATCAAAATATTCATCAATCCATTTATCCTTCCACATATCCATCTGGCCATCCATCCATCCATCCACCCATCAATTATTTATTCACTGAACCAAGCTTAGTAAGCCTTGACAGGACAGCCAGTCCTGAGGCTTTCCTCTATTCCCTACTCTTCCATGTCCCACTCCCCTCTCTCCAGCCATCAAACCTTGTCTATCTCAAGAAACTCTGTGACTGAGGTCATGGCCCATGACCTTCAGGTGCTTACAGTCACGAGTTTTCTGGGATCTGGACCGGGAAAGCTCTAGACCCGGCAAGACTGTCTGCTCCCTCCTTATTGGCCTTGGATCTTGGTCTAGTTTCTGCCTCTGCTGATCTCCACCCTTCAACTGGTTGGGGAGGAGGGGCCTCCAAGCTCCACATTCTCCTGCCAGCTTGGTCGGGGAGAGCGGGCTTGAGGCCGCCAGGAGAAGGCTGGAGGCCCCAGACTCCAGGGCAGGGTGAGCGTGAGCAGTGCTTGCTGCTTCCTGACAGGCCCCAGCCTGCCCCTCCCCGTGCTCCTAGGCGCAGTCTGCAGTCCTTGGCTGCAGGGCCTAATTAATTCTGGACAGGCCCAGCGCTTTGAGATCGCTGGATAAGAGGGAATTCCAGAGGGGCAGCTCAAACTTGTAAAACCATAATTGGTTGTGTTTTTAACAATCGTAATAATATCTTACAGCTTTTGCATCTCAAAGGGCTTCTCTCCTATGATTGGATTTAGTGCCTTCAGCAACCATGAATAGGGGGTCAGGAGGGCACTGGGAGACCACTGGACTATACAGCCCTGGGTGACCCTGGGCTGGACGGTCCTCCAAAGCGTCAGCCTCCTCAGCTGTACGGGGCAGGCAGCGCCCGCCTGGCGGGGGGGCACGAGGGCAAAATGAAACCTTCTACTGGAGACTCCAAACTAGTGCCCCACAGGCTCACGACAGGAGGCCGTGGTCAGCCGGGTGAGCGTGGCAGAATGGATGGGGCTCTCCCATCTGCCAGCGAACTACCTTGTCCCCTCACCTGGTCCAGAGGAGCCGCAAACCTGAGGCTCCGTGGCCACATCCGGCACCTTCCTGCCCAGCCACGCCCTGTGGGTCACGTCCGAGCATCCACCAGCTTCTTTTCTTTTCCCTGCTACCTGTCGTTCTCTGTTATTAACTGGGAGACGCAAGCAAGCTGATTGAAATTCTCTCTACAGGTAGCAAAGGGCCATGGATGACAGACAGGACCCACAACGCAGGAACCCGCGTGGCCAGGCTCGGACCAGGACCCAAGGCCGTTGGCCGGCTGATGGCTGCGCTGGGTCACCTCCGCCCTGCTCTTCTTTGGGTTCCAGAGCCCCTGGGACCTGCAGACCTGGGAGCCGCCGAGACATCTCGGGGAGGGCCCCAGGGGTACTTCTCTGCTCCGGAGGGAGGGGCTCTGCGCGCTGGGCGGCTCCGAGCAGGGCTGGCTGAGCCTCTCACTCGGCAGGTCCTTCTCTGTGGTTTCAAGTTCAGGGCCGAGGCCCACCCTGCTTGCACTCTGCCTCAGCTCTTCCCGGGCTGGCCAAGACGTCAGGTCTTAGATTCCCCTCTGCCTGCCGGGCCAGGGGTGCTCCTGGCACCTACTGGGGCAGCCCCATGGCTCAGGCAGGGTCTTAGCAGGAAGGGTAGCGAAGCCTCCCCTGCCAGCCCCCAGCCCAGTCAACCCCTCCCCACCCACCCTGCCCACGTGAGCACCCAGAAGACAATTCCTGAAGGAAAGCAGTCCCACAACGGCTCCTCACCATCCTTGGGAAACATCTGAGATGCTCGGTTTGGCTCTCTGGCTCAGCAGGGCCCCTGCAGCCCCACCCCAGCCTCAGCTTTCCAGTCCTGGGCCCCATCCCAGAGCGCACTCTCTCCCCACCTGCCCTGACGGCTCTCAAGGCCTCCGTCTCTCACCTCCAAGCCTTTGCAAGTACTGTCACCATCCCCGGAGCCCTCTCCCGCCACCTCCCCTGCACCCTTATCCCCGGCCAATGCCTCCTCACCACTCAGGGGTCTGCCCCGGCACCCGCTCCCCTGGAAGGCTTCGCTGACCCCCCTGACAGGGCCGGCCCCTTCTCTGCATGCGTCCTGCTGAGGCACTTTCCACCCTGCGTTCTGGCTGCCCATCTGTCTCCGCCATCAGACTGACAGCTCAGGAGGGCGGGACTGCGTCAAGATGTGCCCAGAGCGCCCTGGCACCGAGGGACCCCAGGACCAGCTGCCGAGCAAAGAATGCATGACTTCGGCGAGAGCCCAGGGCTGCCTGCAGGCAGCTGAGATGCTGCCTCCGGGAGGGGCGCGGGGCTGCGCTTGGGAGTTTGCGCCCGATGGCATCCTTTTCTTCTCACCCCTTCACCTTCCCTCATCCCTTGACCCGTCCCAGCCTGGGAGGGAGGAACCACGGAGGGGAGTGGGCTCACTGGGCAGGAGGCCGGCGGCCCGCCCTGGGCCCTGGCAGCCCAGCTGCCTGGGGCAAAGACCTCTGGTACCCCGGGGAGGACCAAGGCTTCCGTGACCAGGCCCAACCTCCTGTCCCTGCCCCTCACCCCTGTTCCAGCCTCCAGTGAAGACGACAGGGAAGATGAGTCAGGAAGCTGAAGAGAGAGGCCCAGATGGACACTGGCCAAGTGTACACATGAACTCGGGCCTCTTGAATCCCCCCGAGAACTCCCACCCCCCAAAACCTGCAAACTCCACGAGCCGACAGGACACGGGAACCAGGCCGGTCCTGTTTTTGTGAATGAAAATGTGGCCCAGCTCCCTCCAGTTCCCCAGGCCCTGCCGGCCTTGCCTGACCACCCGGTAACCTCGGCAGAAGTGCTGACCAAAAGGGGAACTTCAAAAGTGTGAGTCAGACAGAGGAAAAAAAGAAGGAAATTCTTCTTAGGTCTCACTAAAGCCTCACACTGAGATCTGCCCCAGGGGCTGGACTCAGGCCTGGTCCCTGCAGGAGACCCCGGGACTCAGGATCGTCCACTGGTAACCTCGTCCTGTCCCCTGGTGCACCATCTGCAGGGAGGAGCCACCCACCCTCTCGACAGGGGACGGCCATGGAGGAACCTGGGGCCATAAACCCCTTCATCTGTTCATTCTGCTAGTTCATATCCAGCACCTATGATGCGACAGGGCTGGGGCCGTGAACAAGACACCTGACGTCCCTGCCCTTGGGGCTCGCGGTCTTGGACGGGAGAGTCCAGTGAACACACAAGAGGACAGAACAGAGTGGTGGGTGGTGCCTCATGCTGCCGGGGCGAGCAAGCTGTGGTGACAGGGCCTGGCAGGGGCATCTCAGAGGAGGGGACAGGAAGGAGCCCTAAAGGAGGAGACAGAGCCACAAAAAGCAGGGACGTGCGTTCCAGGTGGCAAGAGGGGCTGCCCGGGAGGCAGCGCGGACGTTCTGGGAACTGCGGGAGACGCTGCAATGGGGAAGAAAAGCAGGGCAAAGTGGGTGGCTTGCGAAGTTCCCTTGGGCTTCTGGGCCAGGGCTTGGGCAGGGCTCCTGGCCCAGCAAGAAGCAAAGTCGCTGAGTGCCCGGGGGTTCCCGCCCTGCAGACGGTCAGCTCTGGGGAAAGTCACAGGCTGCAGCGGGCAGGAAACCCCCTCCACCCCAGGGAGGAGCATGGAGGGCTGCAGCAGGGCCAGCTCACCCAGCTCCGGAGCCAGCTGCGGGCCAGAGATCCCCAGGCTTCCTCCTGACCTCCGTCCACCGCCTCCCGGCCCGGGAGGAATCAGCTTGGCTGTCCCTTTAAAGGGGCCTGAGTCAGAGCGTTAAGAATGAAACTGACTCACGGTAGAACGGGTGGTCACTGGGCTGGCCGGGGGCCAGGGCTGCGGCGGCAGAGGAAGCCGGGTGACCGCAGCTGCCTGTGTGCGCTCTGCTGAGAAGGACAGAAACCACAAAACCCCATTTGAAATTCCATCGTGCGGCGCGACTTGTGTAATGAGGTTACCCCTCATAATGGGGGCATTCAGGGCCCACGCGGGCCTGTGGGGTTGGGGGCCTGCCCTCCAGGGCCAGCTGATGGTGATGTCATCTTCCGTTAGGAGGGTCCCCCCTCCCGATCCAGGACTTAAAAAAATGCACCAGGAAACTAAAGTGAGAGCCAGAACGGAAGTCTTGGTTTTATTTATAGTTGATAACTTATGTCCGGCCTGCTCCACGGGAGGCCCAGCAGGGAGGAGAGCCAGCCCAAAGGAGAGGGTGACACACATGCTCCAAACCCTAGGCCAATGTGGCACCCGAGAGCAAGCCTAAAGCTCCATTCTGAGCTCCCTAGCAGCCAAAGGGAAGAGAGGAACAAGGCATAATTGCATGATACCACAGAAAACTGGGATCCTTGGAACCTGGGTTAAGATCCCAGCTGCCACAGTTGAGCTGTAAGACCTTAAGTAGAATCTGCTTTCTCATCTGAAAATGGAGACAAGGGTGCTGAACTGGTTTGGAGGGCCAGGCAAGGCCCACAGCACTGCCTGAATGCATTTTAGAGGGTCTGCTAGTCTAGAGTTCACAGGCAGACAGCACAGTCACCCCTGGCTCCTGCACCTTCGTGCAGGGCAGACATCGCTAATGGATTACAGCACACTTTCCTGAGCCAGGTTCCGCCTCAGCCCCATGGCTCACGGTTCTCCAAAGAACCACCAGCCATGTGCCCGAGTTGGCCTAGGGACCCACCTGCTTGTCATCCTGTCTGGAACCAGCTGAGGAGAGGCCCAGGAAGGCCTCGGTCATCTTGGTATTTCCAGCACCTGGCTCATGCCTACACACCATGAGAACTCATTAAAAAAAATTGTCTAGTAAAAGAGGGAGGGGGAGAAATGAGATGGGGAGAGGGGAGAGGGAGAGGGGAGGAGAAGGGAAGGGGGAGAACAGAAGGAGGGAGGGCAGGGGGGTTGGACTTGGGCCAGTCACTGGGCTTCTCTGGGCCTCAGTTTCCTCATCTGTTAAATGGCGGTTTTTAGTACAAAGCTCATGGAATTGTCCCAAGGATTAAACAGGCTGGGCCTGGGGACCCTTAGCACACAGGGAGTCTCCAGTGGGCAAGAATGAAGATGACACTGGTGGCCTTCATCATCACCATGAAGGGCATGACGTTGGAGGTGGGAGCAGGTGGCCACACCTGGCCCATTCTCCTAACTCACAGGCCACAGATCTGAGGATCTAAGCACTCAGCAGGCCCCCAGGCCCCCAGGTTACAACAGTGAGGGGGTTGTGGCGGGGTTGTCAGGCCTTTCTTCCCCCGTCACAGTGAAGGGCAGCTCCATGCAGCCCATGGGCTGCTGCCTGGCCCTCTTCCCAGATCTGGGTTGTTCAGGGTCCAGAGAGGTGACAGCCCACCGCTGCATTCCTGTGGGACCATGTCATTTCCACCCAGAGCTGTTTCCCGTGCACCTCCTCGCACCACGAGCTCACAGCATTTTCAACTTCCACTTGACAGGCTGATCTCAGGGTGAGCAGCACTGGGTCCTGGCACCAACCACCCTCGCAGAAGTCATGTCCCAAATCCCTCGATTTCATCCCTGGTGGCATCCATGGCCCTCCCGAGGCGTGCCCATGTCCCAGCCTCCTGACTGGAGCTCACACCTGCCCGTCCTCCAGCTTCCTCTCTTTCTGTCCCTGCCCCAGCTCCAGCGGCAGGTGTCACTCTGAGAGACTGTCTCCCGACCAGATGGCTGGGCCCAGAGGGAAGGACCAGGCTGCAGGGGCCCAGTTTTGGATCCCCCCACGGAGCATCCTGTCAAGTGGGAAAGAAGAGCCAGTCCCTGTTCTCCAGGGGCACAGGCAGCAGACAAGAGAACAGACAGCCGCACACCCACCCATCAGCTGGCGCACTCGTCCACATGCGGAATGGACACCGTTCTACGTGCCGGGGACATCGCTGGAGGCAGTAAATGGGGGTGACGTGGCTTGATTTATGACCCGAGGAGAGCGCTCCTGCTTCTGAGCAGAGCCGGACCCGCACAGCCCACGTGGGGCTGCCCCCCTGCAGGAGCCTGGGTGCCCATGCAGCACCGCCCCCGGGCTGGGTGCTCCCACCGCCTCCATCAAGGCGAAGGCCAGCAGCCGCGCTGCACCTGGGTCCCCCGGCCTCCGGGTCCCTTCACACCTTCACCCCACCAGCACAGGACCTGAGGGGTAGAGAGACCTGCCCAAACCCCTGGGGGCAGTCTCGGCCCAGGAGTCCTTCCCGCTGTCCTTGGAGAAAGTTGGTGAGCAGCCTTGTCAGCCTGAGTTTACGAGTTTTGGAGACTGACCTGGACACTGCGGCCCTCAGTCCCGGCGCTGGCAGCTTCGGGACATCCTGCCCTCCACACGGGCGATGACCAGGCAGAACTCAGCTGGGCTATCCTGGGTGGGAGAGCTGGAGCCCTTGTGCCGGGTAGTGTCCTAGTCTTGGCACCGCTTGGGGTGGGAGGTGCCCACCGGAGGACCGCTCAGCAGCGGCCCCTGCCCTTCCCAAGAGGTCCGCGGGTCTCACTTCGGAAACACCTCTTGGTCTCTACCTGCAGCCCCACCTGCCTGGTCTGACTGTGCTCGGCTCTGCAGGGACGACCATGCCAGCCTCAGAGTGGGTCCCCAGCTGCCCTCGGTCCCCTCCAGGCACTTCTCCTCCCAACAACCAAAAGGTTTTGCTTAAAGCGGAATAAACTGCTCTCCCCACTCAGACCCACCAAGGCCATCTCACTCTGGGTAAAACCCAGCCCCTGAGGCCCCGCGTGGTCACCGGCACTGCCCGCTCTCCGTGCCCGCAGCCCCCGCCCCGCAGACTTCCGCCAGCTCCGGGCCTTAACCAGGCTGTTCTGCCTCCTGGAACTCGGCCAACTTCAGTCTTCCCAGCCCAGGTTGACTCTTGCTGTCTGCTTCTTTGTCGTAGCCCTCTGGGCACCTTCTCTGAGGCCGTCTCAGCACCCAAGCTGAGGGGGCACCCTCCCCGCTCCCCACCCTCAGCCCCTGGCCCTCCCTCCATAGTGGCTGTGTCCCCCTCCTGGCCGGACGGCCTCCTCCCCTCAGCAGAGTCTGTCCTCTGGGGGTCCCAGGCCAGTGGACAGACCCAACAACTGCTCCACCAAAAGGTATGAGCCCAAGGGAGGCCCCAGTTCCCTCCACCTGGGAGATGCCAACCATGAGCCCCAGATCTCCACAGGGACAGGGCCTGAGCTAAGTTGAGCACCCCCAGGAGGCAGAGCCCCCGGCAACAAGCAAGAGTGTCCGAAAGCAGCTCATGGCTCAGTGGCTGGCAGGACTCCCTGGTACAAGCTGCCCAGCGGCTGAAGAGCCTGCCTCTCAAGTAGTGAGCCCCCTGGCCCCGCCGGTGTGAAAGCGGAGGCCCTCCATGTGGGGATTGGTGGGGGGTGATACAGCTGGTGGAAGCACCTGATCTAGAAATGATGACATCACACTTACCTCCCCTCTGTCTCCCAGCACAGCAGAGTTGGAGGATGGGGAGATACAGCATCGGGTGAGAGAGAGTCTGGACACCTGGCTTCTCGCCCAGTTCCAGCCCCGGCTCACAGTCACTTGCCCTCTTCCAGACTTACCTTCCTCCTTTGTAAGAGAGTGGGTGGGTGGATGGGGCCGTAACACAAAGAGAAAGAGAACAGAACCAAGACGTCAGAAGTGAGGTGGGCGGGGCTGCTGGGTGGGCGGGGCCTTCTCCCGCCACCATTCCTCCTTCCTCAGGTTAAGGTCAGGGTGGAGCCACACCCATCTCCAGCCCTGCCCTGGATGAGTCGGGGCTCCCCTGCCGGTCTGGATCCCTGCTGCGGGGGACCTCCAAGGCCACCTCCTTCAGGAATCCTGGAGCCCCCCAGGGGGCCAGGGGATGATGGAGAAGCAGTCCAGACAGCTCCTGGGAGGACAGGGCCATCATTCGGGGAGATGGGGAGACAGGTGTTGCAAGATGGATGTCGTGACCCCTCATTTGGTTCCCACTGAGCTGCAGATGCCTGTGGACCACAGATAAGATACCCGAGGCAGGGCCTGCAGCTCCACTGAAGGGAGAGCCTCTGACGCCAGCCAGCTCCTCAGACCCAGAATCCCAGGGGCCTTTGCAGCCTCGTGGGGTGTCTTCCCACTGACACCTGCCGCAGGCCCCCTACAGTTCCTCCACACCCACTACCCCTGCACCTGCCCCAGGGCCAATTTCATGCACATCAGCACCACCTACAGGCTGCTCAGAGCAGACCCCCAGTAGTGTCTCCGTGTGTCCCCATTTTAGAGAAGGGGGAATTGAGGCCAAAGAGGCTTGCCTGAGACCATCCAGCCAGGGAGAGGTGGAGTTTGGGGTTAGCAGATACAAACTACTATGTATAAAATAGACGAAAAAATACGGTCCTAATGTATAACACAGGGAACTACACTCAATATCCTGTAATAACCTATAACGGAAAACAATATATATATAATAAAGAATATATATTTATAATGAATGTGTATGTTTATATATGTATAAAGAGCTTTGAGGCAGGCTAGATTAGTCACTTGCTTGTTTGTATACTTACTGTCTGTTTGTGAGCAGAGCGTAAGATTCCCAAACACAAGCATATTTACTGCATCACAAAGACGAGGCCTGTGGTGAGGATTGAGCACTGTGTGTGAGGCTGAGCACCAGCCTTGCTTAACCACACGTAAGATTGGGTTCACTTACAACCAACGTGAGTAGCAGATTTGACCTTCGACATTGGCTGTGGTCAGGTTAAAGTTTCTAAAACTTATGAAAAACATTGATTATACCAGAAAAAAAAAAGGCTGAGGGTTTTCTCTAGCAAGGAAACGGGGACATCAGTCCTACAGCTTTGAGGAACTGAATCTGGCCAATCACCTGAATGCTGTGGAAGTGGATTTTTCCCCAGAGCCTCCAGAAGGAGCATAGCCTGGCCAGCACCGGGGTTTCAGCCAGGTAAGACCCGGAGTGGAGGACCCAGCCCAGCTGTGTCTGACTGCTGACCTAGAGAGCTGTGAGCTAGTGAATTTTAAGTGGCTAAGTTGACAGTAATTTGTTATGCAGCATAGCTACCTGATACAAATAGCCATTCAGGTGGCCTCCAGTGGGACTCTGGAGGTTTCAGAGTCAGCAAGGCCTTTCTTGCAGGGTTCCTGAGGCCCTAGGGTCAGAATAGAGGGCGTGGAGGATCAGCAGGCAGAAAAATCAGCTGGTGCCAAGGTGGGCCCCAGGGTGTGGGGAGGGGGAGGGAGACTTTGGTCCGAAACCCCCACCTTGCACCACCGCCCTAGGCCTCCTGCTACTCGCTGGCAAAACGAAATGGATGCCAGCAAGTTGTGGGCAGATGCAATAAAAGAATGCCCTGAAAAGTGCTTAGCTCAGTGCCTGGAACACAGTAGGTATTTAAGAAACTATGGGTGGTCATAATACGCTAATATTAACAATAATTGTATTATGATATTTATCCAAACAGCAGAGGAGTCCCAGCCAAGTCCTGTAGCAATAAAACAGGCTTTGACATCTCTGCCTCCCCAGTCAGAGCCCCACGTGGGAATCTCATCCCACAGAGGGGCCAGGCTGTGGCCTCCCAGCTCCCGGGGCAGACAGGGACCCTGCCCATCCACACTGGAAGAACCTACATTTTCATGCCCTCGAGAACTTTTTGGAGGAATTCAAGAAGGTATTTATTAAGCAATCATAAAAAGGAAATCTTGAAAACTTACAAGGGCCTTTTTCTGTGCCCAGGGGCTCAGGATGAACTGGACACTGGCCATTGGACTGTGTTCTGGGCCCCTTGAACTGAGCAGAGGAGAGACCCAGTACACAGGTTGTTCACCACGTGATGTAATGGATGAGAAGCCCGGGAAAGGCTGCAGAGCTCAGATGGGCAGGCCGAACAGGGCAGGAGGCTTTCTCTGAGCCCCGTGGAGCCAGGAGAAGTTTTCCAGGCAGGCCAGGTGGGGAAAAGCATCCCAGGCAGAGGGAATAGCCTGGGCGAAGGTACAGAGGCTGGACATTGCTTGAAGGGGAACCACAAGCTGTTTAGCGCGAGGTGGGCCATCTCCTCTGGGAAGGAGCCTTGGGCCTCACTTCTGTTCCTTCCAAAACTGACACAGATCATTAATTAACTAAATGCAGCACTATCCCAGCAAGCTTTGCACACGACTGCAAGCTGGCTGCCAAATAGGATACAAGGAAGACCCCAGAGGGTGAGAGCAGAAGCCATTAAGCTGTGATCGTGGGCTCACCGGGGAGAGGTTTAGTCCTCACAGGTGTCTGAGGCCATCAGGTGACCCTGGGCCATGGGCGGAGCCAATGTGGGTTTTGAATCTTAGGACATGTCACAAGGTACTCGAGGCCCCTTGAGATAAATTTCAATGGCTTTGCCCAGGAGCTTTCATGTTTTTTCCTCAAATGCTACTTTAATTGAGCTTTTCGAGCAGGGTCAGCACATGCAGAGTGCACAGGCCATTACTCTCCATTCCTGTACTCATGGCAGACAAAACTAATTGATGGTAGAATTCTCAACCCAGTGACGCAGACAACTGATTCTTGGGGATGTGCAGGGTCAGAGCCACTGTTTGCAGGGGGGGTGGACACCCAGCTTTGTCATGAAGCCCACTAGGGCTGACTCTCCTCTCCAAGGCCACGTGCATCACAAATCATCTGAAGCAAAATGAAAGGCAAACCACACGGCGGAGGGTACTTGTCTGACCCGTCTGAGGCTCTGTCCCACTGTCTAGGACAGTGCCTGGCATACAGAAGGCCCTCAATTAGTGTCTGTTGCATGAAGGAGCACCTGCGGGTCCCAGCTGTCTTCGGACCAGCCTGCCCCCACCCGCACTGTCTCCTGGCCATGTCAACGCCTTGGGTCCCTTGTTCCAGAACCCTGATCTTCATCCCCGTCCCCCCGGCCCCCTGCCCTGGAAGTGGTGGAGGCTGAGGTACAGCGCTCCCATTAAACAGCTGATGAATTAGGGCCTGGAGAAGTTTTCCTGAAGTCTTTTAATTACTGTTGAGATGAAGTTCTAGATAAATGCAGAGTGAGTGATTGGGGTGGGAAAACCAGGCTCTCCAAGGGGGCTCCATGCCCCCTCCCACTCCTATCTCTGCTCCTTCCTCAGGGAAATTAATTGCTATCAAGAAAGGATTTTAGGAAATGGCCATGTTTTAAAGGCCCCTGCTTAATTTTCCTTTTAATTAGAATGGGTTTCACTTGACGTTTCTGCTGACCCGCAGGGGGAGGGCGGCCCTGCCCGAGTGATGCCCGTTGACCCAGGAATTCCTGCATTTCTGCTATGCCCCATTCGTGGGCTCACTTCGCAGAGTTCAAAAGAATGGCTTTTTCTGCAGCAGAACAACAGCCAGAGCTCAGAGTCACTCCCCTCGTTTCGGGCACCTCTGTGGGAACCTGGATCCGGGACATTCCTCGGGAAAGAATGCGCACGTGGGGGACAGCTGGGTCCCTGCCAAGGCCAGTCGCTCAGCAGGCTCGACAGGCAGAGCTGAGCCCCAGGGAGGATGGACTCGGAGCCAGGCCTGGGGACAGAGACGTGGACAGGGCAGCACGCACTTGCCTCAGGTACCCTTAGTCAGGCCAGGGGGTGGTCCCGTGAGCTTCAGCAAGGTGGGATATGATGGGAAAGGCCGAGTGTGGGGAGCCCAGGGGAGGCTGCTGAACCTCCCCAGCACAGGGCACAGTCTTCCCAGGGCAAATTCTGTCTATGGTGAGAGCCTTGAATTAGTCTGGACGAGCCAGACTGTGCTGCTGTAACAAAGAAATTCAAACCTCAGATCTGTTCTTTACACTTGTTGGTCCAACAAGGGACCTCTCGGGGGGTCTCCTCCAGCAGTGACGCAGGAGGGAAGGGCTTGGGTGAGGGGCTGGGAGCAGACAGTGTGGGCTGGAGGGTTGACAAGGAGGTTCTGGCCCGAGCCCCTGGGCAGAGAATGGCGCACTTGTTGAGTAGGGAAGGCAAGGACAGGAGCAGGGGGCACAGGGGGCTGAATCCAAGAGCCCATGGGAGCCATGCCAGGTGAGCAGTGCACAAGCCTCCGCAGTGGGGATGCTGGGAGAGGCTCGGGCGAGTGGGCTGACCCCAGTTTGGAAGAAGCACATTTGAGGAGCTCCCCAATTCTGGAAAGATGACTTGGCCAGTCCAAGGGGTGGGTTGGAGAAAAGGGATAAACAAGTTACTTTTACAAGGCAGGGGGAGGGCCTCCCCATTTTATAGATGGAGACACCAAGGCTCAGCGAGGAGAGACACAGCCAGGAGGCGAGGGGGACTTAGCATGTGCCAAGCGCCACCCCCACCAGCCTCGGCATGTTCAGTCCACACCCCCACCCCAGAAAATGGTGGGAATCACTAACATCCCCCTTTTACAGATGGAGAAACTGAGGCACAGAGCAGTTCAGCCAGGTTCCCAAGGTCTCCTAAGCAGGGACCTGAG